CACATCATCCACCTTTCTGGTGTTTCTTTCTTTCTTTCTTTCTTTCTTTCTTTCTTTCTTTCTTTCTTTCTTTCTCTCTCTCTCTCTCTCTCTCTCTCTCTCTCTCTCTCTCTCTCTCTTTCCTCTCCTTCCCTCCCTCTCTCCCTCCCTTCCACATCATCCACCTTTCTGGTGTTGGTTATCTATCTTTCTTTCTTTCTTTCTTTCCCTCTCTCTCTTTCTCTCCCCTCCTTTCCTCCCTCCCTCCCTGCAGTTTCCTTGACAAAATTATTGGAAGTGGTTTCCTGGCAGCTTTTCCCTTGCAGGGAGAGAGGGAGGGTGGGTGGGAGGAAGGGAGAGAGAGAGAGAGAGAGAGAAAGGCCCTAAGTCACCCCAGCTGCTTTTCACACAGAAAGGAGGATTTGAACTCACGACCCTCCTGGTTTCTCTCGCAGCCCCATCAACACGGCACCAACCTAACCGCATTATTTGACTTTGCCCAGCGTGCTCAGCTACCCCGGGACCCCGATGGGAGCCCCGGAGTTCAGGCGAAGGCAGCCGTTTGATTTGTAACTAACTTGATTAAACCCCATTAATTGGATTCCTGGGCTACATCGTTAAATCTGCACCAGATTAAGGAAGCACACTTGCTCCGTTCCCCGGGAACATGTATCGCTCTTCGAACGAAAGCATGTTACGGCTTAAAGGGGGTGGGGGGGCTAATTAGGGTTCCCTGTGAGTGAAGCAAAACCACACTTTGTTATCTGCATCACCAGGGCACAAAGTGAATTTCATGCCCGTTTTATCTCCAGCAGGGGCGCGAATAAAGCCGGGCTAAACAGGCTTCAATCCCATCATCGCAGCTGTCCACTATCTTTTTTTTCTTTTCCCTTTTGCAAAAACCTCCCCAAAGGTGCCCCTTTGGGCTCTGCAGACCGGCCTCCTTGGGCCAGGCCGAGCGCAGCCAAGAGACCCTTTCCAAAGGATTTCTGTGTTGGGCGAATCCCCCATCCTACGCCATTTCTGCTCACTGCTCTTGACAGATGAAAACGTAACCTATAGATAAATGACATCCCGCAAAGCCTTAAAGGTTGCGTAATTAATCTGGTCTTGATCGGCGGCTGGAACCAACGCACAAGCGGCATTAGCTTGGGCATTTCAACAAGGGAGGCTGTGTGAGTAGGGAAGAGCTCCCTTCGCCTTGACGGAAGAGCTGTGGCTCAAGGGAAGGACCGGGGACAGCAATGGACCTCAGCCAGACTGTATGCTGCTTCCCGGGGCTTTTAAAAGTCCTCTGTAAGCGGGTTACAGAGTCAGCCTCTTGCCCCCACCCCCCCACCCCCGACAATCTGAGTCCTCATTTTACGGCACTCAGAAGGATGGAAGGCTGAGTTCACCTTGAGCCGGTCAGGATTGAACTCCAGACTGTGGGCAGATGTAGCCTGCCATGCTGCATTCTAACCATTGCACCATGGAAGGGAGGGAGGGAGAGAGGGAGGAAGAAAAACAACAACAGGTAAGGAGGAAGGAAGGGAAGGAAGGAAGGAAGGAAGGAAGGAAGGAAGGAAGGAAGGAAGGAAGGAAGGAAGGAAGGAAGAAAGAGCAATAGTATTTAGTTTAAGTTTAAGTTTTATTTTATTTATATGTCGCCCTATTCCCTAAAAGGGACTCAGGGCGGCGAACAACTTAAACAGGAAGGGGAAACATACAAGTACAAAATAGACATTTAGACTTATATACCGCTTTCCAAGGCTTTAACATCCCTCTCTAAGTGGTTTTACGAAGTCAGCCTCTTGCCCCCTCGGAAGGACGGAAGGCTGAGTCAACCTTGAGCCGGTGATACTCGAAGTGCCAATGCTGGCAGCTGGCAGTCAGCAGAAGTAGCCTGCACTACTGCACTCTAACCACTGTGCCAGAGTGGCTCAGGCT